GATGGATACGTTTCTTAATGAATCGAAACCTTGTCGGTTTACAATTTCTACCGATCGTTACAATTTCCACACGTTTTCCAATAATTCGCTTTCGAACAACGAAAATACTCGTCACGTGCTGTTCTGGTTCTTGTATCTCTCGGACATTTCCATAATATTTGCATTCCGCTAGATAAAATAAACACCGTGACGACTTTGGACTTTATCGCGACAAGCCTGCCGCGGAACACGTTGTGTGATTCACTGATCGACTGCACATTCACAAATTATCGATAATTGGTCTGATTTCGAATTTACAATTGCTGTTTGAATTGCTATCAATTTTGTACCGAGTTGTTTTAAATATTCTTTCTTCATGAATTAACTCCGGTTTAATCGATTATTCAACGCAATCGGTACAGTTACAACTGTCCGGTCTCTCAGCGTCGTATCCAGAAGCATAGCTCTGTGACCCATATATGGGTCATGGACAGTGAACGCGTTATAACTCTCACACTGAAAATTAAATTTTCCCCTTGACTTTTCGGTACAGTTACAATTGGACGAAAATTTGGTGGAAGATAAAAAATGATATAAATCAAACAAAAACAAAGAATTCGAAAATATCGTGTATTGCTTCCTGACTGTGAATGTAATTGCAAAAAAATAAATACAAAATTCAACGCAATTGGTGCAAGTTACAATTGGACAAAAATTTGGTGGAAGATAAAAAATGATGTAGATCGAACAAAAATGAAGAATTCGAAAACATCGTGCATTACTTCCCGACTGTGAATGTAATTGCAAAAAAATAAATACAATATTCAACGCAATTGGTACAAGTTACAAGTGGACGAAAATTTGGTGGAAGATAAAAAATGATATAAATCAAACAAAAAGAAAGAATTCGAAAACATCGTGTATTACTTCCTGACTGTGAATGTAATTGCAAAAAAAGAAATACAATATTCAACGTAATTGGTGCAGTCACAATTGGACGAAAATTTGGTGGAAGATAAAAAATGATATAAATCAAACAAAAACAAAGAATTCGAAAACATCGTGTATTACTTCCCGACTATGAATGTAATTGCAAAAAAAGAAATACAATATTCAACGCAATTGGTACAAGTTACAAGTGGACAAAAATTTGGTGGAAGATAAAAAATGATATAAATCAAACAAAAACAAAGAATTCGAAAACATCGTGTATTACTTCCCGACTGTGAATGTAATTGCAAGAAAGAAATAGAAAAACGAGAACGGACTGCATAAAAAGATTATGTCCTTTCACGTCATATCGCGAGTATGGAGAAACTGGTCGATGCTTGTCGATGTTTAATTTAACAAATGAAACGGAACGTTTAATTTACCCAAGGCTGGACATAAATTAATAATTACGACTCAATGTCATTATCGGCCAAAGGTGTGACCGGCCTTTCGAAGCACGCAGGAAGGCCTTTGTTTACTTTGAACGAAAACAAAACACTTCGATTCCGGGACCAAAAATTTTTTTTGAAACTACGAACGCGTATAAATTTTGCAGAGAAATAAATATCGTGCAGTGTGAAATCGTGGACACGTTTTATGCCAACGATATGAGAATACCAATAGAAATAGATAAAATGTCTGCCTGAAAATAGCATAACTACTCGCGTCAGTGTTCCATTCACGCGTCCATAAAATATGATCGTCGTTATAGTTCGCTTTGTCTCTATTTACATTCCTCGTTACAGTTACAATGGGAAATGCAAAACGCTTTCGATAAAGAAGTATTCGTATAATCGATCGAACGAGATAAAAATAAAGAAACCTCAGCATAAATTGAAGGAGAATTCTCTTTTTAAGAACTAGAAAATTTTTATAAGCACGTGTCTTAAAACAGGGGACGAAGTTTGGCATATGAGGTGACAGTTACGATAAACACGCGTACGAGAATGTTGGGAACAATATCTCTGTTCTAACAATAATATGATCGTCGTTATAGTTCGCCTCGTTTCTATTTACATTCCTCGTTACAGTTACAATGGGAAATGCAAAACGCTTTCGATAAAGAAGTATTCGTATAATCGATCGAACGAGATAAAAATAAAGAAACCTCAGCATAAATTCAAGGAGAATTCTCTTTTTAAGAACTAGAAAATTTTTATAAGCACGTGTCTTAAAACAGGGGACGAAGTTTGGCATATGAGGTGACAGTTACGATAAACACGCGTACGAGAATGTTGGGAACAATATCTCTGTTCTAACAATAATATGATCGTCGTTATAGTTCGCCTCGTTTCTATTTACATTCCTCGTTACAGTTACAATGGGAAATGCAAAACGCTTTCGATAAAGAAGTATTCGTATAATCGATCGAACGAGATAAAAATAAAGAAACCTCAGCATAAATTCAAGGAGAATTCTCTTTTTAAGAACTAGAAAATTTTTATAAGCACGTGTCTTAAAACAGGGGACGAAGTTTGGCATATGAGGTGACAGTTACGATAAACACGCGTACGAGAATGCTGGGAACAATATCTCTGTTCTAACAATAATATGATCGTCGTTATAGTTCGCCTCGTTTCTATTTACATTCCTCGTTACAGTTACAATGGGAAATGCAAAACGCTTTCGATAAAGAAGTATTCGTATAATCGATCGAACGAGATAAAAATAAAGAAACCTCAGCATAAATTCAAGGAGAATTCTCTTTTTAAGAACTAGAAAATTTTTATAAGCACGTGTCTTAAAACAGGGGACGAAGTTTGGCATATGAGGTGACAGTTACGATAAACACGCGTACGAGAATGTTGGGAACAATATCTTTGTTCTAACAATAATATGATCGTCGTTATAGTTCGCTTTGTCTCTATTTACATTCCTCGTTACAGTTACATTTGAAACCTCAGCATAAATTCAAGGAGAATTCTCTTTTTAAGAACTAGAAAATTTTTATAAGCACGTGTCTTAGAACAGGGGACGAAGTTTGGCATATGAAGTGACAGTTACGATAAACACGCGTACGAGAATGTTGGGAACAATAACATTTCGTTCGAGGAGAGATTTATATTCCCGCCATCGAGCGTTACTTTGCTCACGCGTGACAAAACAGAAAAAGAAAAGCGGTCTCGAAGTTGTTACTGAATATGCATGCGGATGCAAGGTTGGCGAACGAGTTGTCAGTTGTTGTACTTATGTGGCATAAATTTTATGATTTTTCAGCTGGGTCGAACCTGCTGTAAATATGCACATTTCCTCGGATCTTGAAATAAAGACTCGCGATTATAGACACTCGTTCGCGCATGTTCGTTATAAACTTTTTTCAATCGCGCCTCGATTAAGTAACCACTTTTTTCTCCTGCATGTTTACAACGTAATTGTGCACGTTCTGCAGCTGTTCGACTTTTACTAAATCAATTTTTTCAGGAAGTTCGACAGTCGAACAGTGACCGTATGGAAATATACACACAGCGTCACTTATATCTCATAATTTGCAAATACGACGCATGTGCGTGGCTAATATTTGGAAATGTAAATGAGAAGTGTAAACATATGTAAAACGATGAATGGGTTGAAATTGACGTCTTAATACGGTGAAATTAAAAGGTCGTATCTATGAAGGATCCTCTATCAGAATTCTAAGTGGAATGACGATAGTAAATACAAACTTCTGTTAACGAATAACTATACACGATGGTTCCCAATGATTGTTCGTTTTTAGTTGAAATTATTTGAAATAACTTTCGAGGTACGTTGACATCCAGGAGTCTGAAGTTTTTTTTAAATAATAAATAGCAGATTCGTCTGTTTTAAGGAGTCTCCAAAAATCTGAGACAACGATATTGAATATTGACATTGAAACGAAGTGATTTCGAAGGATAACCTCGCGAAGGAGTCCTCGAGCTTATGATAATTTAACGCTAAAGTCGTTTTTCACGGATTATTGATGGATTATTGTTATCGATGGGTTTTCGCGATGTTTTTGCAATAAAATCGAATAGACACGCGTTGCAAGAATGAATTCCTATGAATTGACGCGATTACGTTTTAATACACACAAAAATGTCGTGTGTGCTCCGTTTAAAAAATACACAGTGTAACGCGGTATAAGTGTAAATTTTGTAACAAAGAAAAGTGCTTCGAACGATATCACGCTTTGAAACATTTTTAAATTTTTGATTTTCTTAGCTTTTCATCTCTGACAAGTTATTTTTATTTTTTTAAAGAAATTGATTTTCAAAGAGAAACTAAAAGTTTCGTTTAAAAACTGCAGCTATTTTATGCAGAAGAAATTAAAAAATTGACGCTGCTTTGAAACGTTCGAAATACTTAGAATACTGTTATTCGTTCGTTTATGGATTTCGAAAGGGAATATTTTGGTGTACGTAGGCATAATCTAACAAAAATGAAGCGAAGTGACAGAGAGCCACACGTAATAGCAGCATAATAACGAATAATGACGGTAATTTTCTCTTATTATAGAATTATGGATAATGTGCACGTCAGTGACACTGGAAATTCAGGAAGTAAGTAAATTTGATCGGAGTACAAGTTAGCTTTGTTACAGATACGAGTATCGGTACGAAATAACCGTGTGGTTATGCAAATTTGGGACGTCGAAATTGATGTCGTGCAAAATATCGGAAACATTCAGAGAAGATTCGAAGACAATCTGTACAACGAGTCTGAAATAATACTTGATAAATTCCTGAACGGAAAAACACGTCCAGGATCGAACAGTATTTCATCGAACGCTGTATTGATCTAGCGCTGGGAATTATCAACCGCTGGATAACTAAAAAGTAATTTTTCTCGATGTAAACCGTACGTACGCCTTTGTCGGAGGAATTTCTCCTTTCATGGCCGCGCTGCGCCTCGTAACGCACGTAGGAATGCCACAATGTATAAATAAAGCAATAAATACGATTATTACGAGCTGCAGCCGACATTTGTAACCAGTATTAATCACCGGTGCCGAGCGAATTGAGGAATTAAAGGTCAGCCGCGTAGTGGCGCGTAAAATGCAAACAACTCACCTCGAGAGAGGATCGACGAAGAGGGCGACGATTATTACCGCGACGATTACGCAAGTCAGATAGATCGCTGAAATTTCGTAGATCTCGGACTCCGGTGGACGTTCCAGGTTGTCGTGGCCTCCGTTCCCAAGGACGCAGAAATCAGCGCCGCAGAGCTTGATCTTGTTATAATTGGTGGTGCTGTTCCCTCCGGTGCTGCCGAACTCCCCCTCGCTGAGCACTTTTCAGATTCAAACAGAAACGAACACAGATTTTATTAACACCAGATTGCCCAAGCAAGTCATTTTCACTGCTTTTTAAACTCAATTAGAAAAACAATTATGTATATAATGACACAATTATTATGTGCTAGAGTCGTCAAAAGAATATTAGATTATTTTTCGTGGTTTTCATTTTATTTCAATTAAAAATTCTATCGTTTTTAATGGAAAACCTGTTGTCAAGATCATGAATAGTCATTTAACACTGGATTGCCCAAGCAAGTCATTTTGACTGCTTTTTAATTTCAATTAGAAAAACAATTATACTTGATAAGCTGCAGTTTCTCAATAAGCTAAAGTAGTACTTGTTAGTCGAATCCTTATGCAGTGTTACTTGTTCCAACAAGTTGTTTATTTTATTTCTTTTGCACCCTAAATTCATAATATTAAAACCTAATATTAAAAATTAATTTTAAACAAATTTCTTTACACATTAGTGATTCTTTCACGATGCAATAATTTTGACTGCTTTTGGGCAATATAGGTATATACCAAGTTTCAGTCTTTCATAAATGTTGACCCTTTGCACCCCTACATCGAGTGCGACTCGATATTTTTTCAAATTCGAACCAAAGATGTATCATACGCTTGCAAAATTAGAAAACACAACAATAGTGTAAATAAAACAGATATTTGATTGAATTTGTTTGTTCCTCTATTCGTTCAAATTGCCCTATTTTTCAGTAAATTTCAAATAAAACATTTAAAAGCGTTGAAAAGCTGCTGGTAACAAAATTCAAATATAATTCGGAATGCAAAGGGTTAAGAAACTAAAACCAATGGTTAGGGGGACCAGGCAGTCCGGAGCCATTTTGTAAGGGTTTAGGAATAAATAATTTCTTTTTTAAATGTATACGAACTCAAATTTCTTATTGCAAAATCTTGTAAAACAACCATGTATTTTACCTCTTCTCAATGCTTGGGGTTTTAAAAATGATTCCCGCTAAAATATTCAAGTAAAATTCGCAAAAAGGACAAAGTTACAGAAGATTTAGTAGATGTAGAAAATGCAATATGCATAACGCTTGAAACTTGAAACTAACTGCCCTTTACTTCGAGACATTCGTTTGAAACTCTTTTGTCATTTCTGTTGTGGTTAAATTTCCATATAAAATAGAGAAGTATTTGGATCGAAATAGCTATATGAATCGAGAGTATTTAGTCTGGAACGATAAGTGGTGTCAATGAAATATATCAATACACGACTAAAGTGGTCCAATTAAGAAACTAACTAAAGTGGTCCAATTAAAAATAGCAAACGTGTGATAAAGATTAGGGATATTTGAGAATCGTGAAGTAGAACCAAAACTGACGAGAAATCCCGAAAAACCAAGGAATTTCTCGACGGTAAATAGAATGATTTCAGACCGCCGGTTACTTTCGAAAGTTTCGTTTGTCTTTGCAAAACAATGACTTTTTTTTCGTTTGCCGGGTCTCGTTTCACGCTGCAGGTGTAATCGACGTACCGCAACAAAAAAAAAAGAGAATTCCTCGGTTCGCGACACGAAACGAGCATTTCTATTCGCGTCGCGTTGCGAAATCTTTCGTCGATCCGATAATTAAAGATCCTCGACGAAATAATTTATTCGAAAGTCCTGGAAATATGGAATCAAGAGTGGTTAGAGTTCAAACGTACAACTCTTCGTGATGTAAGAGAAAATATACTTTCAAATAACTCACCGGTTACTCCGCGTAGAAGGGAACGAATCTTAAGGATCGCGTATGATCGAGTGTTCTATAATAACGCCATACAGCCGACCAGTATTCAATTTTTCATTGTTATATTTAAAATTCTTTTTAAGTGGAGGAAATCAGATTCTTAGCGTCTTTGAATATTTGGTTATAAACGCTGTAAAAAACTTCGTAGTCTCCTTTTGTGTACTTAGTGTCTGTATTTGTATTCCTTTCTTTCTTCGTAAAGAGTGTTCACCCGTTAAATAAATAAAAAAATTAGGAAAAAACAGTGAGATCGTAACACATTCATTGTAGTTCTTATCGATCTAAGTGGCTTCGAATCTGATGTCATTCTACCGATGTGTTCAATGTGTCATGGCCGCGTCCATTATCGTTTGCGCAGTAGGCTGCGCGGGAGGCAGAAAATTGACCAGCGCGACGTTTCCCGCCGAAAGAAAGAAAATAGTAAGGAAATCGTGGTTAAAATCGCTTCGCGACGAGGCTCTCTCTTTATTCGCGAACGATCTCGTTTCACGAATACGCAGATGCCGAGCTAAGTACCGATTACACGCCGCTGATACAAAACGTATCGACATTCTGGCGTCCATGTTGGCCAATCAGCGAGCGCGGTCATCGGACAGCGAACGACAGGAACTTTCACCGGAGCGTCGTTGATAATATCATAGTATGTTTACAATGTCTACCACCCAATCGTTTCCGATTGTCCGCGAGTCCTACTTATCGGGTGTATAATATTATTCGACCGATTACGCGACTCTGCGCGCAATTTTCTCGATCGAAGGCAGTCGAGAGACATTCGAAACGCACCGGTACAGCCATTAAAACGTTTCGATAACTTCCTCGACGATTTAGCAACGAGCGTTTCGCGGATTCACAGCGAAATTGTCGTGTCGATACGTACCGGCGAGAAAATGGGGAACGATCGAAGGAAAAAGAAAAAAGTGACGCCTTTCGAAAGCGAGTTATTCCAATTAAAAGTAGACCGCGAAGGCGAGACGAGTAATTTAATACTACGTACGTACGTATTATCCGCGTGTAATTGCTTGCCGATAATTATGTATATATATATTCGTAAAAAATTAGCGAATCAATTATGAAAATTATAAGGCATTATCCCAGAGATGGTGATATTCCACTAGTTCTTTCCAATAATTTTTAATATTTTTTTTAAGGCTTGAAATTTCACGAAATACCGAACGTCTCGTCCTTGCAAATCCTAACCTCGATTCTTTACCATCTAACCATATTATTTTGTTGTAGACGTACAACTGTATCGTATCTTTTTGTCCGCGTGCGTAGACGTCGATGTTTAGAATGTACAATGCATACACGGTACAACGGTTCAGCGAGTGAAAGAATCGACTTGGCTGGAGGAAGAGGTTCAAGAAACGAGATCCCCCACTCCCTCGACTCTGTCAATACTTTCATTGAATGCTGTCATACTCCGATCTGCTGGGCCAACCGGTAAGAGGTGGAAGAATTGCCCTCGTCGACCGGCGTTCCTACCAAGCCGATTCTTTCTCCGTATCATAATTAGCCGAAGTATCTAATCAGCTTGTTTACGATCGTTTTACACTATCTGGAAAAATAGATTGTTATTATTCGCGTTAAAGAGCTGTGCCGGTCAACGGATGTCCCGATTAACCGGAACGCACCGTACACCGACACTTTCCGTATTTACTTCTTCCGTTTCGAGCATTAAATTTCTCTTACCGCGCTTCGTAAAGTATTGTCGGTCGGGGAATAAGTTCGTAGCGTTTTTATATTTTCTTTTGTTTGGAACGATTCTTTGCTGTTCGACAAAGTGTATAATGTTCGTTCGATAGAGCTTTAAAATTGAAATATATTCGATATATTTCAATTTTGTTACCAGCAGCTCCCAAGAAAAAAAAAATTATTAATAATTATGTATAATTTTCAGTTTTATAATTAAAATTGACTACAGTGATGTCTTAAAATGAAACAATAAAATTCTTATGAAATAGCCTTATGGTATAAAAAAAAGTTATTTAATAAGAAAAGTTGATTTTTAGTTGGATAATAAAAATTGACTATAGTGATATCTTGAAAGGAAATGACTCGATCGAGTCAAGTGTTTTATTTGAAATTTACCTGTTAAAATATCTGTTTTATTTACACTGTTGTTGCATTTTCTAACTTTCAAGATATCTCTTTGGTTTGGACTTGAAAAAATGTCGACTGGAACTCGACAAAGGAGTTCCTCGGATAAAAATTGATGTCGAATCACACTCGATATAGGAGTGCAAAGGGTTAAGGCAACATTCAGGCGATTACGACGCATGCAACATGAAATCGACGTTATGTAGACACTTGACACGTGTATTTGCTACACATTCATCTGTTTCCTTTACGAAATAAAGAAACGCGGGATTATTTGATATTGTTTTGTCGAATGGACAAGATTGAACATGTCGAGCAAAACAGTTAATGAGAAGTAGCATGCTACAGGTCGCGTAGTGTCACCGAACGACACGTGGCGTGTCACGAGTCGCATAGTGTTGCCTCGGTGGAATCATACCTTTGCAGAACAGAGAGAGTCCGGGAAAGTAAGCGCGACATCGTCGAGACGCGAAGCTGGGGGGCCGTGTGGGGGAGCAACCAACATGTCGGAAGAGCCGCTTTTCGCGGAGGAAGCTCCGAACGATCGAAGCGTACGAATGGTAGAAAACGGTTAAAACGCGTATTACCGCCACGCCGTATCGGAGAATGCGTACGAGGTGGTACGGAAACCGACTATCGCGAGTTTATACCGGATAAATCTTGTTTCTTCCCGCGTGCGAAGCTGTGCTCTCCGTCTTTGTCGCTCACGCCGTTACGGTGTTTCCCCGTCTTTCTACGCGAGTTCTCCCCGGCCAGCGTTGTCAGTCAGACACGCTCGAAGCCCGACAAGTGTCCGTGAGGAACGGCCACCACGCGTCTTAAACCGGCTCCCGTGCATTCGATATTCGCCCGAACTGCCGAATAACGAACGCGGGAGCAACGTTCCGCGACCATGGGACTAATTTTCTACCCGTAAAACGTAACAAAGTTGTCAGCGACGGCTTAGTTTTTAAGGGACGTCGAGGGCAATTAGCTCGACGATGTTTCGTTTTCAAACGATTTATGATTGGAACTTAAGAGGGATGGTTGCAAGGACACGATCCAGACGCCCGTCGATGGCTGGTGACTCGAAGTGCCTTCTGGTAAGAGGACTAAGCTTCACCTCTTGCCACTTACCCCGGAACCGGGACTGAGTAGAGTTGTTCTTGCAAAATATCTAACAAAGTTTATCCCCGAATGAGCCTCTTACTTTATACCACAGAAATGAAATCTTCAAAATGGGCCTTCGTTTTCGAGATATTTTTATTTCAAGTTCTATACGCGTCTAGCGAATGAATTATTTAACGAATTTCGGGCGGCTCGAGTTGTGGGTGAGTCGGTACTACTGTTGTTATTAATTGTAATAGAACAATTATTCATTTTTGTATTCAGTATTGATCTAATAATTTTAATTAGAGAGGGCCAATTGACTGTGAAATAAGGAGATCAGGAAACTAACTTATCTTTCAGATAATTTTTTATCGTAACTACGAATATGCTTTTAAAAATCGAAATTTCTGTTATCGAATTCAGAGTCCGTTTTTATCGGTTTCGTTTAGCAAAAATAGTTCTCATAAAGTGGGTGTTTAAATTATTATTTTTACACAAATTTCGTACCGCTTTCGATTATTTAAGTACCTGTATTTACATCGAAGATAAAACTTGTTACTAACAATTAATGTCGCCATTACCACGATAACAGCAATATACGCGCGATTTACAAGGATCATCGTATCGAATTATTTTACAAACTGTTGAATAAATAGTAGATTGCTTATCTGCACGAATAGTCCGTGAGAGTGGTTCTTGACGTTTTGTTCAGGAATTGATAGGATCGATTTTAGGCACGCGCCGTGCAGCAGCGCCGGGTTATTACTGCTCTCGACAGGGGAAAGACCAAATGTTTGGCCCGACTGTCTGACCGCGCACGCGTTATTACCGCTACGCATCGTCTGTCGCAACGCTTGTTTACGAAGCGTCGCGAAGCAGCATTTCACGATCGTTTCTCGCGTTTCGTGGGACCAGGCCGTGTATCGATATGATAATCGTCGCCAAATTTACGACACGCGCGGTGATATTGACACCGATCCCGCGTCCTCGAGCTGCTTTTCTACGAATGATCGTCTATTTAGACTTTAGACCAGTGGTTCTTAATCCTTTTAGTGCCGAACGACGGTATATCGTTGCGTGTCTCAATGAAACTTTTTTCTGAAGTGGAGCTCATAGGTGCCTACAAAAAAGTATTAGACAACTTTTCCGTAGCGCGTCAAACAAAATTATTAAAACATCAAAAACGAATTTCTAAGAAAATCGAAAGTGGGTAGGTACTGAAATTTTCAAATCGTTCTGAAAAAATTATTTTTGGCCGTGGGGATCAATTACAATCATTTTTGGTGAAGAGACATACCCTCGAAATCCTAACCAGTTTCGAGAAAAAAATTCGAGAAGGTGTAACATTTTTCGATAAAATTAAAAAATTTCAAATCGTTCTGGAAAAAATATTTTTGGTTACAGGGGTCAATTATAATCATTTTTGGTGAATACACATACCCCCGAAATCCTACGCATTTTCGAGAAAAAAATTCGAGTAGGTACTGAACTTTTTAGATGAAATTAAAATATTTAAAATCACATTAAAAAAATTATATTTAGTTACAGGGGTCAATTACAATCATTTTTTATCATTACACATACCACCGAATTCCTACGCATTTTCGAGAAAAAAAATCTAATTAGGAGCCTAAATTTTTCGACGAAAAAAAAATTTCAAATCCTTCTCAAAAAATTATTTTCGGTTTCGAGGGTCAACTACAATCAGTTTTTGTCATTAGACATACCCACGAAATCCTGCCCACTTTCGAGAAAAAAAATAGAGAAGGTGTGAAATTATTCGACAAAATTAAAAAATTACAAATCGTTGTGACAAAAAATTACTAAACACTAAAAGGGTTGACCTGCATAAACAGACATCCGGGGAACCGCGAATTTGAATTCACCGCGTAGAAATTTTAACTATATTCTCGTTGGTAAAAATTTGTCAAAATTCGAGCAATTCAGGATCTTCAACAATGATTCAACCAATATTCAAGGACACTATTTTGAGGATCATCACATATAGAAATGGCTTAACAAGTTCCAATAGACTCTGCCAAAAAGGTTAAGAACCACTGCTTTAAACGATCACCTCAATGTCGAGATTTTTCACCCAAAGTGGCTCGTTTGCATGGATCTGTTGCCTGAACATTTGCATTTTAAGCGTTTCTTTCGTGGAACCTACGAGCACCTATCCTAAATGTGGTTCGAATTAATTTACGACCAATGTGTAACTTTCGTTGGAAGTTCGAGGTTTCAAAAATTATGAAATGATATGGAGAAATAATTTTGATAAATACTGCGTCTTCAGCGCGTAGTATCGTTTTTGCTGAATACTTCGTATAGCACGCTGCTAGTCTTGATTGAATGCCTTCCACGGAACGACACATCCCTTTGAGCATGTAATTCTCTAATTATTATGAGCAGTTTAGATGCCAATATCCAAGGCGAAGGCACTTAATACGCTCACCTTGAACAACGTATAAACCACACGTTGTATGAAAGATTGTTATATGGAGAAGCAACCATTGCACAGTGCGTCTTCTTTTTTTTCATAGACGAAGACGTCTCGGATGTTCGAAGGTCAACTTATTTTCAAATGGAATGTCACACAGTTCATAATAGAATCTTATAGAACGATTAATTCTAAGTAAGAACGCGTTAACCGATATTGACTTTGAACGTAACAGTCAACGAGATATTTTGCTACGTTTACCGATAATTTGATCCGCGTAACATCGAGTTAAAAAAATTCTATATCATCGAACATTTCAATAAAACAGCTGTGTTTACCTTGCAATGTTTATCGACGCGAGTAATGTTGCCTCACTGTGATCGTCTATTATGTTCGTGATTCAATATCGAAGATATCTGTTTTATCGAAATTTTTGATACCAGTAAATTACAAATTTTATAACACAATTCAACTTTTAAATTTTGGCATAACAAATGTGATATTCTATTTATTAAAAAAATACGATGTTTATCTTCAAATCTTTGAAACGCCATTGCCTATGAAAAAAAATTTTCATTCTTCTATTTTCGAGGAAATAATATTTAAAAAATAAATGTTTGCTTATTCCCGTAGAAATTATTGTTTTCTTTCCAGTTCCATATAAGTTTCCTTACGATACAACAATTGACGTTGATACAGGTGAAAAATGGCCTTTAAAATATTTTTGGTTCTTGTAAAATAATTGCACAGCTGCCGCCTACGCTGTGTTAACAAAATGTAAATTGATACGCGGGCTAAAATTATATTAATAATGCCTGCTCTGTAACGTCTATATAAATCAAATTGTAACTTTGTGGCTGTTCAATTTTTATCAAATTATACATTTAACAAATTCTTTTATTCTATGGAATGTAAGGGAAAATGGTGTATTCGTGGCAGAGAGTATTATAAACATGGAAAGAGAGGCACTAAATATTCTACTAAAACTAATTATTCTTATTATTAAATAACTTTTTTTTATACCATAAGACTATTTCATAAGAATTTAATTGTATTCCATTTTAAGATATCACTATAGTCAATTTTTACTATAAAACTAAAAATCAAATACAATTATTAATAGTTTTCACTGGATATATGAAAATTATTCTTATTATTAAATAACTTTTTTCTATACCATAAGACTATTTCATAAGAATTTCATTGTATTTCATTTTAAGTTATCACTATAGTTAATTTTGTACTATAAAACTAATAATCAAATACAATTATTAGTAATTTTCATTGGATATATGAAAATTATTCTTATTATTAAATAACTTTATACCATAAGGCTATTTCATATTGAAACAATTTTGAACACGATTGAACACGTTAGTAAAGAGCCGAAGAATTTAAAAATATATGTAGCAAGATCCATAAAGATACTGGTGAGATTAAACTGTGGAATGGTATGGCACGTGTTAAGGGAACGTACGGGTGCAGAGAGACCAGAGAGATGGAAGAATTGTTGGACGAAAGTAGGGGAAGGGTATCAACTTAATGGCGAGAGAAAGGAAGACAAAGGAAAACGTGTGAGGTGCGGAACAATGGAAGGATGAATATGCTTAAGGTTCTCATTGTAAACGTCGTGTCGATGATGTTAACCTCCTTGGGGGAAATTGGCACATACGTGCACGATTAGTTTTCAAGTTGTGGCGCCACCAGATGGCGCTCTCGTCTCTCTCACAAGCGCTCGACCGACTATCCAATATCAGAGCCCTGAATTCCTCTGTCTAGCAAACGCGACATGTTTTGAATCTAATAATACAGGCACGATCGCCTAGAAATTTGCCAATTCGTCGATAAAATATCTGATCCCTGAATAAGTGTAAAAAAGGAGGAACAGATAAAAGGCTACCTGTTGGGAATTCCAACAGTTATTAGCATACCTCTCGTTTAGTCAATGTTATTTTAAATTACTCAATTAGCTATTTGGCAAGTAGCTCATGGTGCAAAGAAAATGTCTATATGATAAACCCGTTAAGCACCGTACTTTAACATTGTACCACCCTTAGTGGGCGGGATTTCGAATATCTGAGGGATGAACAGGGGCTCGATTGGATGCACAATGTCTCCACCTATTTTGGAATCTGTATATATTCGTGGGACATAGAACTCTCCAAATTAGATAAACGAGGTTTTTGAAAGCTTCCCCTCGAGCCCTAATCCAAGGAAAATCACAATATCCTCATAAACATTCCGAGAACCTAACAAACATTTTCAAGTGCAGAGGAAACATGAAAACGAGTAAAAAAAAAAATCTTAATCTTAAGAACTCCATAAGAATCGAGTGAAGAACATTGAAAATTAAACTGTTAACACATATGCATATAATTGTAAATAAATTCAAGTATTAGTAAATAGTATTGAACTTTCTATTTACCTAAAGACGAGATCAGGTTGCCCCAGAGTTCGGCGGTCTGCCAGGCGAGGAAGAAGAACCCGAAGAATCTGACGACGATGGCGTCCACGGGTTGGTCGGTGAGCTTCGCGTAAACGCCGCCGACTTGCGTGAGGTAGGTGGCTTGTGCTGCCCACATGGGTGCCGCGCCAAGGCCCAGAAGTACACCGGCTGGTACCAGGGTGTAAAATTTCGGATAGAACTGGGATCCGATGTACGGGGCGTAACACAGCATAGAGACACACAGCGTCCATTTAACGGTGAGCCTCTTGATAACGAAGGTAGGCACGAAGATGCAGGAGAGCACCAGCGCCGCGTATATCGCCGATAGAGACACAGTACCCAAACCATCACTAGCGTTTATAGACGACTGAAGGTTCGCCGTGCCTTGAAACGCAGTAAACTGCACCATAAAAGCTATCGAGACGGTACTAATGTTCTTTAAGATCCGCCATTTCTCGCCGCGCGAAAGCTTGAACTTCCTGGACTGGGTGTCGTCGTCCGTGGACGACAACTGTGGCGGTTTCTGCGGCTCCGGGGGTATACCGTCGGTGCCATCGTCTTTGTAACCCTCGTTCCTGTAACCGACCCCACTCACGGTCACCGTGTACACGGTTCCGTCACCACCGCCGCCGCCGCCATCTCCGCCGCCCCCGCCACCCACACTTCTGGTACCGTCGTGTTGTGAAGTTACCATTCTACGTGACTGCTACCTGCAACATATCAACCACCAATCGATTACTAATCTTTTCGTTTCATCGTTCAACCCTTTGCACTACGAATTGTGTTTGAATTTTGTTACCAGCAGCTTCCGACACTTCCAAGTGTTTTATTTGAAACTAGCATGCCCCATCTCGGCTTCGCCCGACCTTGTGCAAAAGCAAATTATGACCAAACGATCGTCCTGACATGTATATCCGCGATAATGCAATTCTCTCGCGAGAAAGCGCTCGAGAAGCTTCGCCACCTGGCGGTAACATCGCGGTACTGCTACGGGCGAGGTATCGCGCGGGCCGAATATGCGCATGCGCGCGCAAGTAGACTGTCGTATACAGGGGTCGCGTGGTCTGCCAAACAGTCGTACGCATGAAATCTTTGCATATAAATATCATGTTAATAACGCGCTTCTGAGACATGCTACATAGCCTATGTCTGTCCTAGAGTATGCAGGAATAACGTGTCAAAATTTTAGGAAGATCGGTTCAATAGGTCTTGAGTTTTACGCGAACATAAAAATCGACTCTCTCTTTATATAATAGTATAGATTTACGTCGACTAAAAAGTAGACAAATTCAATGAAATATCTGTTTCACTTAAACCGTTGTTGTGTCTTGTAATTGTTGGATATTAGTTGGATAGAAAACTAGTTTATCGATGAATTAGCACCGAAATCGCGACATCCACGTCGGAATGTACGTATGTTTTTTTTTGTTTTGTATTGCGACGAGGCATGTTTGGGCGAGCCAACTCTGTCTCTAACTACACGTGTGTAAAGACCGCCATTAGTCGAGTATTATTAGCCAAGTGTATCGATATTGTATTTCAAATATAGACAATTATTTGTGGCATAGATCCCTGTGCACTAAATACTCCAACAGTAATTTTCAAGTGTATGATATCTCTTTGGTTTGGAGATAAAAACTGACGAGTTACATTCGACATAGGAATACAAAGGGTTAAGGGGGGAAACCACTTTTCTTTTTTTTATCTCTTTTTCAATGCTTGGGGTTTTCAGAATGACTCCCCTACGATATTAAAGTAATATTTTGAAATTATTTTTATAAATTTTAAATTTTTATAAATTATAATTATTTGAAACTCTTTTATTATCTCTACTGTAGTAAAATTTTCATATCAATGGAAAGTGTGTTGATCAAAATAACTACCTCGAAATACCACTCTTGAGTTTTCCCCAAACTCGATCAATTTTCATCCGATTCACTTCAAATTTTGTATGGTAATTATGGAATAATTAATTTCTTACACTGGTTCCTATTGTGGCTGTAATAATTAACATTTTCATACGAAATTTTTACGAGAAGTAGTTCAAGAAATGTACTTTCGAAATAGTAAACAATTTCCAGAAGTTTCATAGTTGTGCCCAAAAAAAAAAATTCTTGAAAATTGCCTTTATTTTCAGCCCCCCACAGTGGTTTCCCCCTTCAATCAATCTGAAATTCTAATTCTATATTTAGAAAAATCCAACGGTTTCCGGGAACAGGCGAGAAGTTAAGTTATATATGAAATTGTAATTAGTTTTTTTTTTTTTTTAAAGTCGACAGTTACAACGAATAATTGGTTCCCAAGATGCACGTTAAATTTCTGTGCGTGATTTATAGAGTATTATGTTCGCGACTGAGCATTATATAACCGCGCGGTTTGAAAAAAAAAAGAAAAACAAAAGTTCGAGAAATAATCAGACGGTTTAATGTAAATATAGTCGTTTCAATAAACATTGGAGGAGTAGGGTGAGTCACTCGCGTTACAGAACGGGAATAATTATTCGTCCAATGTTTATTAAAACGACTATATTTACATCAAACTGTCCTATTATTTCTCGTATTTTTGTTCTTTTTTTTCCAACCGTGTGGTTATATTTATAACTGTGTGTGCAATGTATAGAACAGTTCTAATATTTCGAAAAAAGTATTATAGCTAATATAGTTGGGAAAGTCGTTCACAGAGAAAGTGTGTATGTACGAATTATTGTCTAATTTGCATCCATAGTGCAGTATGATAATGTATCGAGTAGTCTTTAACTTTCATCTATTGCTGTACATCTGCACCTCGCCTTTGTACTGTAATTACATATTCATAATTTTTTTATATTCAATTGATTCTCTCGACTCATTTCTATGCAACTCCAGCGTAATAAACACGTGTTATTATGTCGAAATGGTCAGTTCAGTTCAATTTTTTAGAGATCCTCGAGAGAGCAAGCGAGGTTAGATCCAGAGAATCTGGAGCAAAAGTTTACCAACCTAGGATCCATAAAATTCAATGAAAAACCAATTCCAACGTTACGTTCGATGACTTCTAATCACAACTTAGCTTTGCATTTGATGATAAACGTAGACGACAAGTTTATTTATCATCTCTGTACTTTAAAAATATTAAATTCAAATCATATCTTGAACAAGCAAAACTAAAATATATTCGACTATACATATGTAGATTTCCATGACGTTTAAGCTAGCTTAAGTCTTGTTACTATCACGAATTGTACGAAACTGAGTCACATCTGATAACGATTCCTAGCAGCGCGAAAGTGTTAATTTTTACAAGAGGAATTTTCCATTAAAATTTACAGAAATATTTTAAATATACCGTCGAACTTTATGAAAACTTTATCATCGAGCCATTGTGGTGATTCTTATTCAACAGTCCAGCAATCCATTAAGTACTGTATAAAGACAAATGTTCCAAGCTATTTCGATTCTGTTTAGAAGAAAGCAGTGAATTGGCGATTAATGTTTCACGATTAAATCTTTGATCAACATTGGAACCACAATACGCTCGTACTGGTTTGTTCCTGGTATTTACCGATATATTATCGTGTTTTATAAATTAGAAAGGTTCTTCGACAATCTAAGAATGAGGTCCAATCGCGACAGCATTGGCTGGTCCGTAAGGTATTAACCCATTTGCATCGAGAAGTGGAATATTCCACGCACGACGTCGTCTAGACTGCGGAAAACTATAAATCATCGAAGAAGAGTCGTATTCTTTATTATTATAACTCTGCAACACGATTCTCTTTATAACATTTATTAAAAAATAAGTCCTTGACATCGACAGTTTGTGAAAATCGTTCCCAAATCGTGACCTAATTTTCATAGAAATTAATTTAAATTAACCAAGGAGAAAGACCTTTTAAATTCCACACGTGTCGATCGACTAGCATAATTACATAGTCTATTTCACTATGACGATGTCCGATCGAGCAATAAGTTATACTCGTGTGATCGTCGGGTTGCATATTGCCAGGGGCGCTTAAAAACCCGGAAAAAATCAAACGGAAAGAATATAACAAATAGTTGCAATTTATTAACATCCAACGCGTGGGAGTGGGAGGTATTAAAAAAGCAGTTAAAAAATGTCTGTGCGTAGAAATCGATGTACAAGAATTTTATACGATTTAGAAGCGAATTAAATCAATTAAAATTAATTTGCACTTGACTATGTTCTTAAACATTTTGATTTTTCGAAATAATTGGTACGATAACAATTTGTTCTGTTTGTTTAATAGCAGTGATAAGTAGCGCCATCTTTCGGTGAAGAATGAAGTCATATTTTAATTAACTAGAAATGCAAACAGATTTCTTTAAGATTTGAAAAATAGAATGAACATTTTTCAAAATTTGGATTTACAGAATTGTAATTTTCAGTTCGATGTATATCGAAATTATTAAAATCTGAGAGGAAGCCTCCAACGTAAATAATTACCATGATTCATCGGAGATGTATTCGCATAAAAAGTATATTTTAAAATTATCTTCATTTACCAGTACATTGCAATTCCTAGCGAATCGACAAGCTTCCCTTCCCCCTCCTTTAGTATTTAACGTGACTGCTTGTTAAGTTTTTCTTGGGCTAACATATTGCATATTAGTCGGCGCCGTCGTCGTCTGACTCGTTTCCGAGCGGAAAAATATTGCACCAACACACACCGACGGGCTATGGTATGTCTATAAAATCGTGCTATACAATTTTAATCTCGATGCTCATAATAAACGAAGGCATACCTTCTTTTCTTTTTTCGAGGAAAAGGATAACATAACTTTTCATCGGCGAATAGCTCGACGCCGCTGATATCAGCAAACGAAGCTAATTGCGTTTATTATTTTTACTCAAAGCGTATCTAAATAGACCACTGCAAAGTTAATTTAGACGCTGAAAATATATTTGAGTTTTCTTTGATGCTATGTGCTACGATATTTATCAACAAAATTTCAATAAATTTTCATAGTGACGAATACTGTTCCCAAAATTTATTTCTACGCTGAACGTAAGAGACAGAAGTTTCCTCTATTAACCCCTTAACGCCCATATTTTTCGGGTTAACCAAGAATAATCAGTTTTCTTTATTGGATTTGCTTCTAAAAATGTGGTTTCCGTAAATTACAATGTTGTATCCAACGTATAATTTGAAGGAAAACAAATATTATCATCCCTTAAACCATTAGATTAAATAAATATCGTCTTTCAAAGCAGTCAGACTCGGGCATGAACGTTAAGGGGTTAAAAGGAGTTTATGGATTCTCGTTTACGAAGCTAGTTTACAAAAATAACATTTACCTATATGTATACTCGGTGGAAAAAAAAATCTTATTTCGCTACTAAGTGAGAATTGTCCACTAAAAAAAAAAAATTGCAAGATAAGGCAATTGAATAATCGGCGTCACTCTGCTCAAGATAGTGTATATGTATTTTAATATGACCATTTAACACGTCACCTGCCATGCCAAACACCTCCAATTGTCCACAAAAACGAAACTTTGTTTTTAGATACTAGAAAACTAGCATTCCCACGATTTGAAATTGAACTTATTTTTTACAGCCTCGTTAAAATTCAAGAGTCTTATCTAGATTTATTTTCTTTGATATGTAATCCTAAAAATGACATTCTTTAGCTCCTCGGGGAAAAGTCATGTCACCCTTTCCCAAAGATGATCAGCCAACCTTGGGAAAAATTTTAATGGGGGATTCTAGA